CAACCTTCTCGTGTGACAGAAATTTGCTAGTTGTACTTCACCCAAAAACAAGTCGACGATTCCTGAATCCCCAAGTAACCCTTTTCTTTAATCCCAACCGCTTACATAGATTCTTCTTTCTCTCTCTCTCTCTCTCTCTCTCTCTCTCTCTCTCTCTCTCTCTCTCTGTGCCCATAAATACCCCATCAAATATCACTGCCTCTCCAAACTCTCCCCCTACAACAAAACCCTCCTCTCAGTTTTCTCTCTCTCTTTCTCTCTCTCTCTCTCTCTCTCTGTGCACACACAAACCAAACGCTACACAAAGTGTAAGACAGCTATACTAGATTAGAAGCCTCATCTTTCTCTTCTTAGTTTCTACAACCCATATCTCTTAGATTATTAGATATTTGCAGCTCCAAATTAAGCAAATTTACAACCATGGTGGCAGCCTCTCCAAACCCAATTCACAATGAAAAGATCGAGGCCATTGAGCTCCCCATCATCGACCTTTCGGCCGAGAGGTCCCAAGTGAGGAATCTCATTGTCAAAGCTTGTGAGGACTACGGTTTCTTCAAGGTCATCAACCACGGCGTCCCTCAAGACATTGTAGCCAAACTGGAGGAGCAAAGCCTCAGCTTCTTTGCTAAAACAATGGCTGAGAAGCAAATAGCCGGGCCAGCCATTCCCCTCGGTTATGGCTGCAAGACCATAGGCTTCAATGGTGATATGGGAGAGGTTGAATACCTTTTGTTCAACACAAACCCAATCTCCATTGCTCAAAGATCCAAAACAATCTCAAATGAGCCTACCAAATTCAGGTACATCAATTATTTATTTCTTTACATTTTTTTTGTTGGTTCTTTTTGCATGTTTTAGTTTATGCTTTTTTACCTCCTTGGGGTTTTTTTTTTTGGACGAAACCTCCTTGGGTTTTTCATTCTTTATGATGAAGGTACTTTTTGGCTAGAATATATTAAATGAAAGACGGTCGGGGGAAGGGGTAACAAATTTTGGCGAAGGGTTCGGGACAAACTGTTCATTATTTACTAGGCATTCACTCTTTTTTCCATCTTGGTGTTTTTCTACTTCTTTTGAATTCATTTCAATTTATTTGCTTATGCTTGTAGAAATTAAAATGAAAAATAACAAAAATACTAGGCATACCACCTTGTGTATCAGAAGCGAGATTCATTATATTGGTGGGCTTCGAAAATAGACATGAAGAAATGTAATAACCATTTTTCACGGGAATTGTTAAAACCGTACCAACTTTCAAAAGTCACATGGGAACTAATTTAGGGAAATGATTCTCTCCCGGATGGTGGGATAAGCTGTCAATTAAATTGTAGAATTTGAAGAAGAAAACAAATAAATTGAGGATCTTTTAAAACAAGCATATATTTTCCACACACGCAAGGTATACGGCGAGTGGAGGAGAGGAGAGGAGAGGAGAGCTGCATGTGTTTCTCCATTATTGAATTAGGAATGAGAAGAGAGTGAAATCCAGTACAATACTGTTCCACTGTTATAATATTGAAAATTGGGAAATCAGAATGACAAGTCAGAGGCAGAGGCAGAGGCAGAGGCAGTGGCAGTGGCAGTGGCACATCAAGAAACGTCTAATCATACCAAATTAAAAAAAAACTAAATTATTATAATTTTATTGTTGGGTTTTTGAAAGAGAAATATGAGTTTTAAATGGGCCAAAAAAGGAAACAGCTTCCAGAATTAGATGGAAGATGCCCCAGTTGCAGTGACTTTATTATTATTATTATTTATATTTAAAAAAACAGAAGAAAGAGAGAAAGGGTCAGAGTCAGAGTTGCAAGTCTGCTTGCTGCTGATGAATTGAGTAGGTATTTTTGTGGTACATTTTACAGCTCCGCAGTGAGTGGGTATATTGAAGCAATGAAGGATTTGGCATGTGAGATTCTGGATTTGATTGGTGAGGGATTGCGGGTCCCAGACACATCAGTGTTCAGTAGGATGATCAGAGACGTCGAAAATGACTCCTTTTTCAGGCTTAATCACTACCCACATCATGTAAACAAGGACTGCACCAACAACATAAACAGTAGCTGCAGCAGCAAGGTTGGGTTTGGGGCGCATAATGACCCTCAGATCTTGACCCTCCTCAGATCCAACGACGTGGGTGGCCTCCAAATCTCTCCACAAGATGGGCTGTGGGTCCCTGCTCCTGCTGACCCCACTGCATTTTGGGTTAATGTGGGTGACCTGTTGCAGGTTGGTCTCTCTCTCTCCCTCTCTCTCTCTCTCTCTATATATATATATATATATTCATTCATGGTAATCATAACAATCTTAAAAAGGATGACTGGAAACTGAATATTGAATTGATTGAAAACTGACTGAGAATTGATTTGGGTAAATCACTGCCATTTTGACTGCATGTAAGCTTTTGTATTGATGGTGAAGTGGGGGACCACCACATCAGTCCATAACCAATCAGAGTTTATGGTGGGGGACGGGGGGATTGATGACTAGACATTGGATAATTGAATGACTAGCCAGCCAGATGGTACTGAAAAGTAGTTTTGTTGGTTGGTCAGTATGCCATTTATGGGCTGTTGGGTTGGGCAGCCTAGATTCTCTCTCTTCTCTCTCTCTCTCTCTCCAAAGCTTTCTTCCTAAACTTCTCTAAGGAATATCATAACCACCTATTCAGTCAGTCAGCAGTGCCATTTATCATGGTATGTTCCCTTTGGTTGGGTCCTTGTTCAGGATACTTCTTCCTTTGAATTTGTCTATGTGATTCGGATTTCATCCATCTCTCATCACGTGATTATACGATGAAAGATGCAATATAGATATAATAAAAATATATAATCCGTTATGATAAACTTTTTTCTCAACATAAAATAGCTTAAAATCCTTTATCGTTCGTAACAATAAAAATTGACTCATTGTAAACTTGATGAATAGGCATTCCTCTGGTAGACAAATAGAAAGATAAAAAAAAGGTAGTCATAACGTCTTCCAAAGTAGCTAAAAGAACTTTAAAAGAAAATAAAAGATATGGTTGCCATAACCTCTTCAAGGGACACCCAGATGCAACCTAAGAAAGGTGCTCATTTAAGGTAGTCATGTCTTGGGATAAAAGATACTTCCTTTTGGTCGGAGAAAAAAGAAACGAAAACAACTACTCATACATAATTCAAATTTTTTATTATTTTTATAAATTTTTTATGACCACATATCTAAGTTCACATTGGAGTCATTCAACCCGCTCTGATACCATGTCAAATTCAGAGAGACGAGTCAGCGGTCCACTACTAGCAACACCGATATTGTCCTCAACTTAACCACATACAAAGCTCAGTAGGTGTGTGGTTTTATCACAAAAGGCCTCAGATATATTAATATTGAAACTATTCGTTATACATTGTATTTTATTTAGTCAAGTTTCCGATGTGAAACTTATGTTCTTCAACACTACAATGTGCTTTTAGTTTGATTAATTAGTTGTGTTTTATCTAATAATTAATGCCCTTAATGTGAAGGCGATGACTAATGGAAGATTTGTGAGCGTGAGGCACAGAGCTTTAAACAACTCCTCCAACTCCAAGTCAAGAATGTCCATGGCATATTTTGCAACTCCACCCCTAAATGCATGCATCAATGCTCTTCCAGAAATGGTCACACCAGAGAAGCCTCGTCTCTACAAACCCTTCACTTGGGGTGAGTACAAGAACACTCTTTACTCTCTCCGCCTCGGCGACACCCGGCTTAACCTCTTCAGAGCTTCGACAAACGACGAACTTGCTTCGTAAATTAAGGCGGGCAGCAATGGAAAGTAAAAGAAAATAAAATAAAGGCAGTGAAAATATGAAAGCAGCTTCTAGTCAAGTTGGATTTTTTTTTCTTTTTCGGGTTTTTCGGGTTGCAGTTTTTCCTAAAGTATTTCATACTCAACAGTTCAAGTCATAGACTTTGTACTTAGAAATGGGAAAATGTCGTACTTAATCATCAATGAAAAGAAGAAAAGTTTTTATCTGAATTTATAATCCTTATTTAGAAGAAAGGAAAAGTGCCCTAGTACTATTTAAACCTAGAACCCCACTAAAACAATAATTTTGTGGACATCTTAGGTTTCTGAGGGGTGTGTGTGTTGTGTATATATTTATTTATTTAAATTTTGTTTTGTTTTAAAAAAAGTCAAGCATCTTTCTTGGTGCAGTTCTCAAGAGGAAGAATTGTTGGTGTATGCACGGGGGCTTACTGTACAATCGGACCCCCCCCGTGCGAGAGTCCAGCTCATGGCATGGATAGAATAATCTTTGGTAGGTGACCAACTATGAGACTATGGACCCTTTGTTTTTGCCGTCCTCCTCCTCCTACCTTCATTCCATCATTCCATCATTCCTTCATTCATTCATTCATGGACCAGAGGCAGACTGCGCCATAACATACAAGTAATCTTCAAAAGGCTGGGTGCATTATTGGCATTAAAAAATAGTTCCTGCTTTTCTGTGACTGGATGAGAGAGAGTGCCCCTTTTAGCCATTAACATCACTCCTCCCTTACACGCAAGAGACTTGCTAATTCTGGGTGCATACATGTATACAAGTGGTCACGTGATGTGTTCTAAACAAGAAAGACATACCTATTTTGGGTACATACAAGTGGTCATGTGATGTGCGTTTTAAGAAAATGGGGGTATGGAATGGACCCAGAAATAGGTAAGTTTTTCCACTCAAGACAGTATAATAATGTAGGGGGTAAGAATTGAACCGAAAACCATCATAATCATTTTTTCAAGTTTTGATATATAAATGTAGCACTTACTGGTTTAGATGTAAGACTAATGCGGTATTCGCCTTCTTCCTAAGCTGCGCAGGAAAGGCCCAAAGCCAATCTCAGGGAACAATGAAGCGTCACAGGGTCTTTCTGTCCAGATGCAGGTAGTCCGCATCTTGTCCCCACACAACACACAGAATGTGGGCCCCAACTGCGTCCTGCAATTTCGCTTAAGGAGCGAGTAGGTGGGTGGGTGTCTCTGTGTAATGTGACTTCAGCAATCTTTAACAATAAAAGAAGAAAAAACACAGAAACCTGCAAAACGACTAATTTTCCTGAAATCAATTTTTATTTTTATTTTTCTGTATTTTGCTTGGATACGATCATACGATTCAAGACAAAATTCAAGTTTAAAGTTGAATAATCTTGAACTAAGTTGTAGACAGAGAAGCTGGATGATTAAATAATCTACTCGGACAAACCTAATTTCGATCCACAAAATGAAATAAGAAAAGCAATTTGTTAATCGTGTAAACAGGGTACATGATACATGGAATTGTTGAGCCATAAAAAGATAGGCTATACGGGCTAAAAGGCTCTCCTAAAACTCAGCCTTTCAACCCACAAATCAATCTGTATTTCACTCAATGTTCTACATAATATGTATTTTACACAAGCTGGCTGTTAGAGAAATTCTAATGCCTTTTCTTGTTTTAGATCATGTCACCACCATATCATCTGGTATGGTTTTATTAGTTACCCTCACCAACGTGCCAAGAATCCCTATGAGCATAAAGAGATCCTTCTCGCTAAACCGCAATCTGAGATTTTGCAGCTAAGCGCGAACACTTCTTTCGACCGGTTTTGGTGAGTGCACAAACACAAGTCTCCAGAAGTTCATAATCCTCCTCCCACAACAACAATGATGCCTTCTCAGGGTTCTCCAACAGCATCTTTGAGGTTAGGTAACCAGCAATCGTCCACGTCTGGAAAAGCCGGGATTGCTTGCCTATAAATCTCCCACTTTTAGTGTCGTAATATTCAGGCCACTGATCCGCAGAAAGCCTCTTCTCTGCCAAATCAACTGCCTTTTGTGCTAACTCGGTCCTCCCCATCTTGATGCAAGCCAAGGTGAACTGAAATAATAACAGAGGACAGTTACAGAAATCAGGTAATCTGGTTGCGGAATATGGTAATAATAACTCTCCCAATTGTCTGGATCCCTTCCACAAAAAGAACCCAATAGAAAGGGGAACAATCCAAAGTAACTCGTTGAATGAATCAATACCTGCCATAGGAGTGTTGGCCAAGACCCACCATTATGATATGACCATGGCCTACAAGTGAAGACAATCAGTGCATAAGTAAAAATTTCAACCAGGAGAAAAAGCTATGCGTCTAGTCAGGAAATTTGCAGAACAATGCGGTAGTAATAAAGAAAATAAAATTTAGAGAGCCTCACGTATTCTTTGGGTCACCACCAGTAATTATTCGCCATTCTTCATACTCCAGAGCAGGGTAACAAATTTTAAGGGGCATTTGAGCCACGAAATCATCCCATTTGGCTTCAATCAAATTTAAAATACCCTCATTCTGTTTGTGGGTACCCAGAGATGATACAATAGACCAAAGATTTCCAAGTGTGAACAACCTAAAATCCATATGAGCAGGTTGTAGATTGCCAATGAGGTAACCACCTTCCTCAGGAATCCAATCAACTAACCAGGATGGAATTTGATCTGGATAGATATTGAACTTGTTGACAGCATCTGTAGAATATTCCTCTGTCTTGTAACGATAAATCTCGTTAATCTTCTTCATATCCACCCAATAATATTCTCTCATATGAAATGAGAGTGCACTAAGTCTGTTATTGATTGCAGCCACCAAATCTTTTGTGCTATCATTGACAATGAGCATTTCACGGGAGCATCTTAGAGCTGAATAGAACAACGCCTGTAAAATCAGATTTGTTAAGTAAATAAAACCAAAGGCAATAAGAAGCAAGCAAGATAATGGGTCAAATAAGGAGGCAAGCACAGGGCAGCATCCAGCTAAGAGCCTAGGATATGACATGTACAAAGGCACTACACATTTTTAAATTTTCCAACTTACTTGGATTTCAAGAGGGTGTCCATGAATACCCATCCGTCTATCAATCATACAGGAACCATCAGTGACTAACAGGGTAGGAAACATGTCAAATCCATTTTTTAAACACAGATTAAGGACCAGCCTTATGCCTGTCTGGAAATCTACCCTTTCTTGTAATGCATAATCACCAGTGATCTTTCCATAAGCTCTCAACAAGATGATCCACCACAACCCTGTCAAGGTAGTTAAAATAAAAATCAGACACTATTTATGCCAATTCTATGATTGTAATGTCCATGTGCTCTCCTAAAACTATACCATGAAAGATTGTTAATTGAAAATCAAGTATGCAGCACTTAGCCCAACCCAAAATGAAAAGAAAAAAGAAAAAAGAAAACAGAAAAAGATATGCAGCAGTTGAGCAGCTATAGGGAAACTCTAATAAAACTGAACTAGTACTTTACATATGACACAGCGACCAGCAAAATACAATTAGATTACCTGAATCAACAGGTGCAACACGGCCAATGGCTGATTCACCAAAATCAGGATCTAAAACTTCCTCAAATGCTCCATTCATCCCATCAAGAGGTACAGTCTTAACTTTAAAGCTTGCCGGCATCAACCCTTGCCCAGGGCTGTGGCAGTCAACCGTCTTCTCCCAGCTCTAACAAAAGACCAAAACAAAGTTAATTAGATGAGATGTCAAAAAAAATGTGCCAATGCTCAATGAGGAATCAAATTTACCAAAACATATTTCAACAGCATGCCAATTTCTATTCTTACATCACCATAGAGGTATCGATTAAAGTAACAAACTGGTAAAATTTCCTATACAAGGAAAGCAAGGGACAATGAAAAAATCTCAAAATCAACAACTCTAGCAACAAAGTTGAATTAACATTGGTTCAAGAATTTGTTATGGGAGAAAAACAATTTATAGCATTATCATATTAACATGACTGAAAGTTGTCTAGAAGACCTAGTGTGAACGTATAGTTCACCAACAACAAATAACTTAGTGTTGTCATCTGCGATTTTCACGGAAAACAGAAATACCTATATAATCAGATAAGTGGCTTCAATGACTCCAGAATCATTTGGTGATCCCATTTTGCAAAATACATTTGTACTTTTAAATGCTTTGTCGAACATTAAATTCAGACGTTTTAAAAAGCACCATTTCTTGTAGTTTTATTAGAGATCCTACATCATCAACTGTGTTAATAGTACTAAGTTCTTTTAACGCACTAATTGTGGATAAAAAGTATTATATTACTTTGAAATAGAATTTTTAAACTGTAAACCATATGATCCAAATGAGAAATGTAAATTCCACCAATTACATTCAGAAACTAGTGAAGCTAATGACAACATAACATTATGTGAAACTGTTAAAAATCATGACATTACCTGTAACTGCAAAGTGTGAAGCAGAAAATTCTTGACAATATCAGCTTCTCCATTGAGCAAGAAAGCGAGTGCCGATGGGACAAAGTCTCGAATGAAGACCTGATCGTAATTGAGCGGTGTTTTGTCAGCCGGATCAGTTGCAGCAAGAGTTCCCACTGGATTCCCACAATAACTAACAACTGAATCCCGAAGCAAGCTCCAGGCTTCCTTTTCAATATCAGACAGCTCTCTCTCATCCTTGGTGTCATTCAAACCCTTGGAATTACCTATATTTACATTTATATTTGAGCCATTAACCTCTACCCTAGACTCTTCTTCTCTGACTACATCACCATGATCTGTCTCAATCTTCTCTATCACCAAAGGTTTCACATTCAACCGACCTTGAATATAAATACTTTCGAAGGAGGTCTTCCCATTAACCTGAGTTTCCACCGAGGTCGAATGGTTCCTAATATCCGACGCTACATTTGGGATGACTAAAATACCCCTTCTACTACTACTACTATTACCAACACGACTAGTCGTCTTGCAAACCCTAGTCTGACCCCAATTCAAATCGGAAACACTAAAAACCCTCCGATTCGGATCACTTACACGTATGTACCCTACAATCTGAGAATTACAGCTACGTTTTTGACGTCTCGATTGTAATTTCGACAAATTATGAGTCACTATATCGTTCAATTTCGGCTGCGGTGAACCGAAAACTGAAGAACTTCTGGAGCCATAGCCCATGAGAATTCTACAGCA